GAGCCGAGCCCAAACCTTTCCCCCCCCTCCCCCCGCGTTTCCACGCCGCGCTCCCTCCCGGCCCTTTAAGGAGCCCGCGTTGGCCACACCCTCCCGCGGCTCTTGGCGAGCCCTCCCTCCTCATTAATATGAAAGCCGAGGCGCTGCTGTCTAATGGGCGATGAAGCTGTCACTCCGGCACCTACTTGTTGGGTGTTCTCGCCGCCGAGGGCGCACAGAGGAGCCGGGCGCGGAGTGGCGGCAGGCGCGGCGGCAGCAGCAGCAGGAGCAGCAGCGGCGGCAGGGGCAGCTCCTCCCTCCCTCCGCCTCCTCCTCCGCTTCCCTCCCTCCCTCCTCCTTTCGCGGACCTTTCCTCTCCGTCTCGGCTGCCGCGGGGAGCGCACGGGTCGGCGGCGGCGGCTGAGCGGCGCGCGGCCAGCACCTCCGCTCGCAGCTCCCGAACCCTTTTCGGGGAAAAGCATCGAGGATTTTTTTTTTAAACCGGAGGGAGATCGGGAGTGAATCCCAGGAGAGAAAGAAAAAAAAGAAGGAAGCAGCGGCTGCACCGGAGTGGGTCCCTTGACCTCCCCGCTCGCGTGTGTGTGTGTGTGTGTGTGTTGCCGGGCGTGCAAAGCCACCTCCCTTGGTCCTTTGCCGCCGCCGATGCTGCGAGCCGCGGCCGGTCGATGGCTTGTCGGGTCCGGCTTCTCCTCCACCGCGCCTGTCTTCCCTGATCCCGCGCGGCGTTCGGCTCGGAGCAGCAGGCATGCGGGATTGTGGCGCCCGGCGGCACGGGGCTCTTTACGCGGCGGCGGCGGCGGCGGCGCTCCGGCTGTGCCTGCTCCTCCTCCTAACTTTATGGGTGCAGGTAAAGACCACGCCGGCTTCGGATTTGGGGGTGGGGGTTGGGGAGTTGGTGAACATATACATATATTTATGTCGATATATATATATCTATCTTATAAGGCGTGGAGGGGAAAGTTGCAGCCGGCTTGTCGGGGGCATGCATTAATTTTCTTGCAAAAGGAAAGGAGGCTGGCTAGGGATGGGCACGAACCGGGAGAACATTCTTGCCATGCCCGCCTTACCTTTCCACTTCAG